TAGTTTCTCCTGATATATAGTGGATTATAAAAAGTGTTAATGTGATCTTCATTCAGTCCTGTATGGTTCTTGCTCTTTGTTTTTTTGCTTTGCTCACTCTTTTTTTCTACTTGCTTCTTAATAAATTCTTGTACTGTTACTGCCGATGCAATTATTTCTTTTCAGTAAGACTTTGAGATCTGGCTTTCACTGCAGCCTGCAAAACTGGGAAGCGGTTGACTGCTGGGCAGGGGTTTCCAGCAGCTGGAAATATAGGAGAAGAGAAGGAGAAATGTTTGTTTCTACCCCAGGCTCTCCTCTTTATCCCTGCTTTCTCTTCCGCAGGGACATAATGGGCGGTCAGCAGGCAATTAGAAAATTCTCTAGTGCCTTGTCTCTCGTGGCTCTGGCTTTTCACCTCCTGTTGGTGGGGTAACCGCAGTCCCAAGCCGCTTCCCCAGGCTCTCGGTGGTGCTGCGCAGAGCCCTGTAGGAGATCAGTGGCCTAGGAAGTGCCCCAGCAGGGAGAGCGGGGCTGGAGACGGACAAGGTCAAAAGGGGCCTGAAGGATAGCAGGAACTTGCCGTGTCTTTCCCAGGCTGAAATGATCTGACAAATGCTGAGTGTAGTAAAACATGAATGGTGATGCTCCGTTAGGAGCACAAAGGTTAGAAATAGTTCCCGGTGCTGTCTCAGAGAGGCTGCACAGAAGGCAGCTTTCACATCAGCCATCAGGCACCACCAGGGTCAAAGACTGCTCAGCCTCTGCATATCGATCCCTAGAAGGTGATAGGGGGTTGGGGACTTTGCATTGAACTACCGTAAATTTGCAAATTTCTGCCCTCTTTCTAAACTCAAACTGGTTTGCAACAGAGCAACAGGAGGAAAGAACTGCAGATTTCCAGCAGGCTAGGACAACTGCTGCCTTCCTGGAGGGTAGGAGAGTAATGCAGATGTCAGCTCCAGTGCTCATCCTCATCCTAAAATTCTGCTTCTGCTTGCAACCCTGTGCAAAGCTCTGCTGGTAGCACATGCTAACGGGAAGTTTTAGCACGATGTTGGAATCAGGCTGCTCTGCGTGACTGCAGTGGACGGCCTGGGGTGGCTGGATGGGGATCAGCAGCAGCATGTCCCTGATTCATCTGCTCCCATGTGCTTGTGCAGAGGGGAGGTGAAGCGCCATATTACCGCCTGCAACACAGAGAAGCACGTGGGGAAATGCTTCCAGAGACAGAAGCCTGGGCTCTCCAAGGCGAGTATGCAACATATTATTGCAGTACAACAGGACTGCCATTTTTACTGTGCACTGAGTAAGCAAATGATTCAGTCTCTAGGATGCTGCTGGCCCACAACAGGAAAAAAAATCAGTCCTGTGTGTCTTGGGCTTTTTTGATACCGTGTGCGATCTGGCCAGTATAACTGTGCCCTGAACTGGCTCAAACCCAGATAGATTCCTAGATATTACAAAGAAATTTTTCACTGTGAAGGTGGTGAGGCACTGGAACAGGTTGCCCAGAGAAGCTGTGGATGCCCCATCCCTGGAGGTGTTTAAGGCCAGGCTGGATGAGGCTTTGAGCAACCTGGGCTAGTGGGAGGTGTCCCTGTTTGATTTGGTTTGCAGCATGAGTCACACCTATGCTTTTATGAGATGCCTGAGTGCCACACCTGATGGACAGGCATTTGAATTTGGTGGCTGTTCTGTTCTTCCAGGGACCACTGTCTCTTAGTGCTGATTCAGTTTTTTCCATTCACTTCTCTTATCTTGGTATGATCTTCTGTAGGCAGCCGTCCTTTCTCATCACACACTGTGCCATCACAAGCCTTGTGGTACTTTCTGTTTAACCAGGAAGAGGATTTGAAGGTCTGAGTGGGCTCCCTTGCTCCTCTCCGGCTCTAATAGAAGCAACCACCCTGGCAACCAGCACGCAGTAGAAACATTGCTGCTGCTAGTATGTTCGTATCTGGGCTATACCCTCACCATGTTCTACCCTTCACTAGGTGTTTTAAACAGCAAATAGAAGCAGCCCCTACTCTTTCAGTGTGAAGCAACATCTCTGAGGGCTATAGTTGTACCTACACACACAGCTCTACAGCACAGGAGCTCAAGCAGCCCTTCACTTCAACCAGCAATAATGCAAATGGCCTTCCAGCAAGAAGAGTGGGTGCAAGGCGAGGGTTTTCCTCTGGACCCTGCTAGAATAATTTTTTAGAAGCTTCCCCAAATCCTCTGCAAGGTTTCTAGTCCCCTCTCTGGGCAGCCCTGGGGTATCTGAGACCTTCCCACCTTGCTCGCCTCTCTGAGCCTCTCCTCTGCCTGTGCTCCGGGCAAGGGCAGGAAGGCTGTTTGGCTCAGACTCTCTAGCAAGACAATTATTAGGCTTAAATACAATGACAGCTAAATTAACTAGTTCTGTAAAACACTCCCTGTCATTTCAAATTGCCTTGATATGTTCGTAGTCCTTGTCTCAGAGTGATTTGGTGATGCCATCGCACACCACTGGACTCTTGGATTTTATCCCAACGTTGATTTGTATTTGCACAGGGATGCCTTGCAAGTGCATCATCCTCCAGGTAAATTTCTACTTTAGTACCACAGCAGATGAAGTTTTTCAAGTTAAATTTCTCTCATTTCTTTGTCTGTGTTCCTTTAGGTTTTTTTCTATTCTTTCCCAAAAGCTGCCCGCCTTGGAATGTCTGAGTTTGCTCAACAAAGTCCATGGATTAAATTTAAGTATATATGTGTTTTTACAGTGCTTGGGTAATGTTTTCAATTAGGGTAGTGTTTGATTGTCTATACAAGGTCAAGTTTTGCTTGTTGGGATACTTTTTTTCTCCAGCAACATGACTGACAAAGCACTTTCCCCCCATGAGCTCCCTCTCACTCCTTTTCCCCTTTCTCAGTATTTTCCATGTGTTTGCACTTTTCTGGTTTAGGTCAGACACAAAGAGGATTCCATGGCACTTAGCTGATCTAACCTGGCACAGGCACTTGTCGTACTACTTGTACTATGTCACAGATTTGTCATCTCACTCAGACCTACCTGATCTCTCACAGGCTGGATGAAAACCATAAATCTTGGTGGGAGGGCTTTGGTCCCATTCACTGAGGGTGTTCCACGGGAAATCTCTTCCTGGTACCTTTGGGTACGATGTTTCTTTTAGGTTTCTCTTCATGGGATCAAAGTTATCCCTAAGAATGCATACAGTATGTATAGTCACCACGTATTTACCGGTTCAGTAAGTAAAAAGCGTGTTTGGTTTGCCTCCCCAGTATATGAATGTTGCTGTTTTGTAGAAGCACAGTGAGGAACAAGGGAAGTCAGACAGGGTTGTGCAGTGAGGCTACCGGAAAACTGGGAATTCAGCTCAGGTATCCTCAATCTCAAGATGCCGTCTGATCTATGCTCTGTTGGGAAAGCTTCCTGCTGTCCTTTGAAATCTCAGATAAACAAACAAACAAACAAAAAAAAAGGCCATGTACTCCTAAACCACTCACATCACACAGATTTGTAAAATTTAATGTGCCCCCCCAGCCCTTTGTAAAGGAATTTAAACAACAACTCCCCTTTTATTTAAGCCTGAGTTTGGTTTGTTTCACACACTTTGTTTCTGCTATGCTTCTCTCTGTCACAGGAAACATAAGAGCCTTAAACCATCGGCCAGTGTTTTCAGGCCACTCTCAGCCCAGGGTGTCTGTGGCAATGACGAGGATGTCATTACAGCTAACCGTCGTCATGGCAAATAGTGTTCTAACATGCATTAAAGCAAGTAAATAAAAAAGGGAAAAACTATTTTAAGCTTTTCAGAGTGTTAACTACATGTACTCCCTCAAAGGGATTTGAGACTATAAATATTTTTTTATAAATCCTGGTTCTTTTCTTACAATAGTTGAGGGTGGTGTGCAATATGCTTCCCCGTCTCCCCGAGCTAAATAAAATGGTGAATCAGCTAAAGCAGCCTGCCCCATCCTCCCCTCCAGCAAGAGTTCATCTTCTGGACTTTGGGATTTCAGCATCCTTTGCCAGACAGATGGGATGGGTGAGGAAAATTACGCACTGAATGAAGGAGGATTTTGCAATTTTAGCTGTTTACAAAATTGTTGTTTCATGGTCAAGTGAAAAGCTTCCCACCACCAGCCAGCCTGATTACTGCAAGCGTGATCGGTGCCTGGGTGGGAGGTTGAGCTTGTTTTTGTAAGCCCCTCAGTACCACCAGTACCAGTGCATTGTCACCAGCTACCGCTCCCATGCGTCACAAGTGCCTTTTCTCTGCTACAAATGAGAGGACGCATCTGCTTTCTCTGTGTTTATTGCATTACACTGAAGCGAAACAGCACGTGGTTATTTGCAGTTACTAGCTGATGATTTCACCATGTCTAAGGAATACAAGGAAAAACAATTAAATAGTTTGGGACTCAGTTACCACTGAAGGGAGGCCCAGGCCATGCAACAGGACAGGACGAGGGCAGCGGTGTAGAAGTCCGACACTGAGCTGAGCCCGCCACGCCGCCCACTCAGTGGGACAGCAGCCTCCCTCAGCCGGGTGCGTTTTTGAGTAGCACAGGAGCTGGTGGGCTTCTGTACTATTGCCCTCTCCTGGGTATGTGGCCAGAGCAATTTGCTGGGAGTAGCACTGTGAAATCTATGTGCTGGAGACATTCATACCTGCCCAGAGGGAGCCGGTGGTGACCATCCACCATTGCCATCCCTTGTGCCCAAAGTTGCTCCAAGAAACCTCTGCCCAGGCTGGGCAACTCTGGTAGCTCACACAGGACGGGACTTTCTCTGTGTCTTTCTCAGACATTAGTTTTTTCTGTGCACCACTTCCCTCATTGTTCTAGTACAAACATGAAACAATGCCCTTGTGTCTTAAATTATGACCTCTACAAAGTCCCTGGAGATGCTTCAAAATGGCCTCCTGGAGAGGTGTTAGCTGAGATAAGGAGCTGCTGGTGCTTTTCTGGGCTGGTGCTTCTCAAAGGAGCAAGTCTTTCTCTCAGGATTAGAAGGTTAAAGTCATCATCTTAAAATATAGTCTTAAAGAACTGTGGCCAGAGGAACCCGCCTGGAGCACCAAAGCTGCAAAGCACATCAGGATTTGTTGGTTGGCTTTGATGTATCTGCAGGTTTCATTTAACTGTAGAAACTCAGTTTGCTAAGGAAATCATTGCATTAATATCTATAGTATATAAGCCTTTTTCTTGCCTTTTTTTTTTTTTTTATTTTATTCTTTCCACTGTGGCTGGGGGCCCGAAAGCAGCAAATCAGTGCTGGCGAGATGTTTGAAGAGCCTGGAGGTTGCACATCCTCACCAACCCGCCTCTTTGTAGACATTGTTCAGGTGAGTGCAGATTTCATTAGTCACCTTCTCAAAGGAAGCTTTGCAGTCTCCGCCAAATTTCTCTTCCATCAGTTGCAAGATAATGTCACAGATAATCTAAGCAAAGAGAAGGGAAGAAACAACCAGTATGAACTTTCCTCTACATTAGAGGCATAGGAACAAAATATATACTTTTATTTGGGATTCTTGGAGGGTGAAAAGGGATTACAACAACAATTCATCAGCATATAGCATGCAGAGCTTGCAATAAATCATGGAAAATTAGATGCATTATAGAATTCACCAGAAAATGCAGTCACTGCTGCTGGTTTTTTACCTATACTGTATCTAGTTGATGTTGACTGCACTCATCACTTGAGGTCGGCTGTACAGGACCTATTCACTTGGTCCATCTACTGCAAGCCTTCTCCTGGCAGTGGACTGTCCCAAATGTTTAGAGGCCACAAGGAGCCCTGTGTTGGACACCTATGGAAAACCTGGCTTGGAGGTAAGTTACTAATCTTTCCTGCTCGTTAGCTATCTAGTATTCTGTAGCATTGAGGGTTTGTATGTCTTTACAGTCACTAGGTAGGTGGTATGGATTTAAATGTCAGCTCCTTTTCTGTGCATCTTTACTCTGAAAAAGTCTTTTCAGGATCTCTCCAGGCAGAAATCCTCACTTATTCTCCCTCTTATTGAAAATTGGGCTTGCTGCTTTGGAAACCACTCTCCTGGTGGCTGAGTGACCTTTGCCAGAACATGCCTCTTTTTTGCATTTTGTCCTGTGTCAGGCAGACAAAATAGTTATAAATGCACTCTGCTAGTGACCTTAGGTGGACTTGAGCAAGCAAGTTATCTGTGGTTGTTTAGTGATGGCAATGCTGTTGCCATTGTTGCTCAATAACAGCTGGTTTAGTTGTCCTAGAAAAGCTCAGTTCCTGTTACTAGAGAGAAATAGACATCATGGACCTGAAGTCCAGTGTTAAGCTGCTTTTCTGTGTCTTGTTATTAAATGACAAGCATGTGGGAATCCTGTTTCACTGGGAAAACCCACTATAAGTCTTGGGCAGCTCCGCAGCTCCCACCTGAGCAGACCTGCCTGCGTCGCAGCTGCTGCTCAGCCGCCTTCTTCCCAACAGACACCAGATCTGCTATTTTCCACCATTGACTGTCTCAACTTCCACCATCCCCACTCCCTGAAGCATATACATATATATTTATATATACAAAGCCTGTTCTATTCTGCCCCTCCCATCCTCCCATCACAGTTACAGCCACTGGGAAGATGGCTGCTGGCTCACCCTAAAGTTTTTGGGGTCAACCTTCAGCTGGGTGGCATGTTTCTTGCCAAGTGGGTTCACTATCCCAAGAAAAGCCTCGGAGTTGTCCAGGTGTTGCACCATGTCGTTGATGGCAGTGAAAACCCTCTTGCCGTGGCCCCTGACCTGATCCGACTGTTTCATCTCTTCAGCAGAGTCCATGCCTTTGAAGTGTGAGAAGTAGGACTTGGTGTCTGGGTGCTCGGTAAACATCCTGTAGAGAAATGAGAGATGTCCTAGTTTGCGGACCAAGGCACTGATGCAAATACACCTTCATGTTCTAGGCTTTGTCTTATATATTTGTTGCCTTTTCCCTTCTCTTTATGAGAACTGACACCTATTTCCCCTGCATTTCTTGGTTCCCCTTTGCGCTTCCCATCTGTGCACAGCCCCTGTGACCATGGCAGCCTGTCCCCTCCCTCCCCTCTCCCTGAGGCACTTCTCTTTGCTTACTCTACCTTAAAACCTGCCTATCCTGAATTTATTCTGCTGCTTCTAAACTAAACCTTCCCTTAATGTTGGCTCAGTGCTAGGTGGAGATAAAATCCACAGAAAAGTGGAAACACATTCAGGCAAGGCACGTGTGACAGTGCGATATTCCCAAAGATGTTCTGGGCAGCAGACACTTCCACTGTGCTCTCAGTGGGTGTTTTAATGGAGAAACCTTACTATTGGTTTTTGTTATTTAACCCCTCCCTAGAGTTCATCCCAAAGCTTTCTTACTGCCTGTGGTGGATTGTTGTTTGAATATCAGGTAACACTCATTTCTTTGATTCAAAAGTAACACAATTCAATGGCACTTGTAAAACAGTTGTCTTTTATAATACATCAATTACAGTCATCTCAGTCAAGCTCTTAAAAAAGCAGTTTACTCTGTTGGGTAAACCAGTTATCCACCTGAAATAGCCATAGCAAAATCCAGATTGCATTTCACAGAGTTACAGAGCAGTTGAGGTTGAGGGCACCTCTGGAAACCATCTGGTCCAAACCCCCTGCTCAAGCAGGGTCACTGAGAGCCGGTTGCCCAGAACCGTGTCCAGACAGTTTTTGAGTATTTCCAAGGATGAAGACTCTACGGCCTTTCTGGACAACTTGTGTCAGTGCTTGGTCACCCTCACAGTAAAAAAGTGTTTCCTGATGTTCAGAGGGAACCCTCTCTCTTTCAGTTTGTGCCCATTGCATCTGGTCCTGTCACTGGGCACCGCTGAGAAGAGCCTGCCTTTGTCTTCTTTGCACCCTCCCTTCAGGTTTTTATACACATTGATAAGATCCTCCTGAGCCTTCTCTTCTGCAGGCTGGACAGTCCCAGCTCTCTCAGCCTGTCCTTATAGGAGAGATGCTCCAGTCTCTTCATCATCTTTTTGGCCCTTTGTTGGACGCTTTCCCCATGCATCCACGTGTCTCTTGTTGCGGGGAACCCATAACTTTCCTAAAGGCAGGGCTGGGTCTGTGGGACACGAAGGCAAAACCTTCTAGAGTAAATTACCACAGGGAGCCAAGACACTGGATGCTACTAACATTTTATAGCTGCATTTCTGACCCTAACTGTCCTCAGGTTGTGTAGACTACAGAAGGAAAGAGCAGTGCACAACACTTGTTGAGGCTGATCCAGGCACAAGATGGGATATACAAGAAAGCCAGAGGGAGCTGGAAAGGTACGATAACAAGAAATAGTATTTGGACTGATCAGTGCATATGGGGGTGATGTAAGTCCCAGCTGAGAAAGTGATATGTGAAAGGTGAATAGAAGAAAATTCTGTCTCATGGAAGTAGAGAGGAAAACAAAGTGAAAACTAAAAAAGGAAAGCCTACAGGAAGGGTACAATACTATTAAAGAAATTGGCTCTGGACTGGAAAGGCTGAAGGAGAATCTGAAGAGAAATATTGAGGACATGCAAGTTAAAAAAAGAATCATTAAAGGAGTTCAAAGGTAAAGGGGAAGAGGGAAACAGCCCATGTTTTGTTCCCATTCTCCTTCATACCACACTTTCTTTTCTTTGCCTTAAATGGGTAGAATGAATAAATTGTTTTCATCTCTTCTCCCTTTCCCACCCCTTTCCCCCTTTGCTTTCACTTTTATTTGCATGGATCTCTTGTCTCCCGTTTCCTCCCCAAGGTGGGGTAAACCACAGCAAAACAAAATGTTCCCAGCAAGGGCTGCGTGAAGCACATCAAGATGCGCTCCTAGGCGGTATCTCCATCCTGCTTGCTGTTCCTCTTTCAAGCCTCTAGGGTAGCAGACCTTACCTGACCAGCACAGTTGCCCCATTGTCCTCAGCATCCACATACATCTTCTCCCAGGCACCGCGGGCACTTTGCACCTCAGCTTCAGAGAACGACATGGTGGAGGAGACAGTTGCAACTAAGGGCGCAGCAGGAAGAAGGACAGGGAACTCCTGGCGGGGCAGTTCTGCTCCAGTTCTGTCCTTGGGGCTCTCTAAATACTGCCCCAGGGATTTAAGAGATCTTGAATAGACTCATTGTCTCCATTCCCTTGGGTCACATTTCTGCAGGTTTAGGGCTGCCTAATCGTGTTTAATCAGGAAATAAACCAACCACATGAGGAAGGAGGACTAGCACTCTTGCCATGGGGTCAGGTGCCAGAGCAAAGATCTTGCTGTCTGAGGAGGAAAGAAAAAACCCTCCTTTTTTTCAGTGGGGAAGAAAAAGATCGGCTCTCCTCCCCTCTCACCCCTGTCAAGGCCAGTGCTTGGCTTCTCTTTCCTTAGGGTGATCCTTGCCTGAGTGCTAATATTCCTGTTTTGTTCCTCACAGCACCGCTGTGCTGCAGGCACCCTGCCATCCCCTCTTCCCAGCACTTCTTGCTTCTCCAGTCCAAAGATCCCCTTTCCAGCTCCGGGAGCTGTCTCCAGTCCTGCTTTCATGGCACGGTCACTGCTTTCCCCACAGCCTTCTGGTTTAGCAGGGGCTCACCCTGTGCTGCTCCCAGACTTGGTACCAGGTGGGTGGGAGCCATCACCAGCGCAGAACGACACCGTTGTGGGGATGGTGATGGCACCATGGGCACAGCATGAGTGGCTGCAGTGCCCTAGCAAGCCATGTCATTTTAACATAGGAGATAAATGGTGCAGGACACCCAGGCTGGAAGCACAGGAATTTTGCTACCCTAACCATCCTGGCTTGCAGCTGGGATCTCTCTGCTGTCCCTAAACCCCACCTGTCTGGGAGGGAGAAAGAGATAAGGGGCACGAGAAGGGCCAGTATGGAGCTGCAGACAGCACATATGGGCCCGTTATTGTTATGATCGCTTGGAACTGGAGGCAAAAAAAAAAATCTTGGATTATCCACACGGCACCTGGGCTTAACCTTTGGCAGGAATGTTCTGGTTAAGTCCAGGGCGCGCACACAAAATGTGGGCTAAGGGGCTTGAGGAGCTGCTGCTGGACGCTGAGCGCAGACAAAACCTCCTATTGTTTGGGATGGTTTAGAGGAGGGAAGGAACAGATGCAAGGGAGAAATGTGTGGCACGGCGAGAAAACCAGCCCAATACCCTGGGGCAGAAGGAAAGAGGTGGCTGAAACTTCACAGAAACTGATCGTCTTGGTGGGAGTGCATCCAACCACTGCTGAGGAATGCCTCAAACGACTTTGCCAAAATGAATGCCCCCCTTCCCTCCCTTCTCCCTTTCCACCACAGCAAACAAAGAGTGGGTCTGATACCAAGCTGCACAGCCTCCTGTTTTCTCATCCCAAAATCCTCAGAAAAATGTCCCAGATTTCAGGAGACTCCCCCTGGGGAGGGGCTGGACACACACTCTGTGCTGCCAGGACTGCTGCCCCTTTGAAGGCAAACACCAGCCAGGGAAACGCCAGTCAGCCGAGCCCAGCCACCAGCACAGGGATGCAGAGGAAGGAGCAAGGACAGCACCATGGGGGCTGGTGGTTCCCAGGTCTTGAGGGAAAAAACCACCTGGGAGGAGCTTGGTGGGGAAAGCACAAAGTTTTTGTCCACGAGCAGAACTCACATCAGGTGTTTGTCATGGGTGGCCTGGGAGGGAGCGAGCTCCAGCAGAAAGAGCAGCACCAGCTTTAGCTAAAGGGAAAGGGGCTGGGGCAGGTCTGGAGCATGGAGGTAGAGCTGGTTTTTCTTCGGGATGTGTACAATTGCTCACTTGCAACTTCTCCTCTCTGTAGGTGTCATGTTCTCCTTGCAGATCCTTGCTGTGGACACTTCTTGGTGGGAGAAGCTGTCGTGCGGTGGTGAGCCTGGTGCTCTGGCCTGAGCTGTGGTAGCAATGCACATTGCTCAAGGATACGTCTTTCCTCTTAGCTTTCTTGGTCTTTTCCTCTTTATCTCCCTTGTTTGCCCTTTGTTTCCCTCCCCTTTGGTTTTTGTTTGTGGCAGTTCACAGGCAAACCTCAGCTTCCCTAGGTGACTTCTCCTCTACTCTCCCCAACCTCCTCTGGGATACTGCAGTACCAAAATGCTCATTCACTCAATATGTGATCAGATATAGTGTCATGGGCAAAAAAAATAGCCGTTTTGAGTTGGGAAATTTCAATCAAATTAATTTACTGCCAAGCAACAAACCAACCAACACTTAAACACCTCTTTTCTCCCTGTCATCAACTCCCACCCCTGTGCCGCAGGTTACACCCAGGCCCTTCTGTGAGACCGCAGGCAGTGCAGGATCTGGGGGGCCGTGTGGGGGTCCTTTTGCTCTCACTGTTCCTTCTGTCCTACTCAATGGCCTTGGCATGGGCTCCTGCACTGGTCACTGTCTCTTTGGGTGCACCTGTGTCCTCCCTCTTCCCCTGCTCGGGCACCTCTCTCCTGTCCCTACCCTGGCCACATCTCTTGTGTCTCCTCCTGCCCTGGCTTTGTCTCTCCTTTTTCAGCATTCACATCATTTCTTATACATGTTGCCACAGAAGCCCCATAAATTCATCTGGTTTGTCCAGTTTTGGGGTGCCATGGGTCAATGTTGTCTGTTGCTGGCACAGAGCAGTTCCTGACCTGATGCCCTCAAGCATGTCACCATGCTCTCTGTGACGCAATTTTCTGTTCTTTCCTTTCACCCTCCAGTGTTACTTTTACTGTTTTAGAAAATCTTCTGTTTTCCCCCTGTGCAATTTGCTGAGTCCCCCTTGTAAGATGAATGCAGTAATACCTCATAAAGGTTTGACGTCACTCATAGGGTTATACGCATCTGTACTACCACTTGGGTGGTCTCTAAAGATTGAAAGAAAAAAGCTCCAGAAGCCCTTTTTTTTTTTTTTTGGCCTCGAAATTGGTATTGCTGTGAAAAATTTGCAGTTTAATCATAAACTCGTCACATTTTTGCCAACACTCACCCCCCCACCCCAAGGAAAGAGGATGCGTGCTCTTGGTTTATTTCTTTTTTTTCTCCCATGGTTTGTTTTCTTTAATATCCCAAAGGAAGCAAAAGCTCTTAAATGTAATTTCTGCTGAATGGGGAAAAATATTTTCTAATGGGAGTGTTGGACAGCCCTGCAGAGACAGCCTTGGACACAGATTGGATGCTCCTCAGCAGGCAGGGTCAGGCGGGGGGGCAGAGGGCACGAGGAAATCCCGAGCAGGGAGTACAGCCGCCGTATTTCAGGCTGTGAGCAGTGGCGGCCAAGCTTTTCCTGGCTCTGTCCCCAGCCAGGGAAGCAGAGGATGTGCCTCCCACTGTGGTGCAGGGAAATGGCAGCGGTTCTGCAAAGTAGGATTTGTTTTCTTTCAGTTTCAGAGAAACCATGTGCTTTAGGCAGAAGGCAGCCAGCAAGCTCCGGTGGCAGAAACAGATGGTGTCTTCTTCCCACCCAGCCATTTAGGATCTGTCAGCAATGACTGCCTGCAGAGCTTGTTATTGCCTCGGTCACAGGCACTGTAAACTGCCCGTGTTTTCTTCTCCGTGAAAGTTCATGAGTTGTTATTTAAGTTTCATGTTTAATGTAAATAAACCAACCTATCACGCAATAGAGGCTAATCCCCAGCTCAGCAGAGACGCCTGTTGTAAAGGATGGCGGGAAAGGGCTCGGCAGCTGTAACTTTTACTTTCCCAACACCCCTCATGCTGTCAGACTGAGGTTAGAGCCCCCCATAGTGGGTTTTGCTGGGTTTCTTGGATGCTTAGCTTGAGATGCTGACACTCAGTGCTGCTCTTGCAGAGAGGACAAACACCTGCATCTGCTCCGTACTCAGTATGGAGGTTACCAACATTACCAGCTCATTAAAACAAGCAAAATTAGGAGCTGCAATGATGACTGTTGGTGTCAATGTCTGAATGCCAAAGCCCACACAGCACATGGATGGGAAAGGCGTGGAACAGACACACGCAGTTTTTCCAGCTGCCACCAAACTGCGCTTGTCTCTTCCATTCAGAGAGAGAAGTGGGCTGGGGGGAAGCTGTGCTGCACTTTGCATGGGTGAAAATGCGAAGTCCAAAGAGTAAGAAGAAAGCAGGCATGTTGTACCAAGGTCAGGGTTCTTTTACCCAGTGAGCAAAGCAGCTGATTCATGCACAGAGTTGAGATATTTGTTTATTGCGTGTCTGCGCAGGGGTGGGTGTTAGGTGGTAATTCCGCAAAGCTATCACACATATCCTCTGTACTATCAAGTTTATACACAGTTTTACAATCAGGAAGATATTTGTGTTAACACATCGTCGGTTACAATACATTGCATAGCGTAAGCCCTATTGCACATGCTTAGCTCTAGGGGAGAGGAGACTCCTGAGTCCTGCTCATAGGGAGTGATTTTTAACATTATAATTGTATTAAAATGAGGATAGGTTACTTTTGGGCAGCTTGTTTCAGTAACTGGTGAATCAGCAGTCTTTCCCTTATCTTAGTTTCACAATGTTGGTTCTTCAGGGTCACTGTACTCTTTACCAGTTCCTTTATCAGTTCCTGGCCTTGTTTTGCAATCCTCCTTCAGTCGTTTACCAGCAAATCCCCACCCCTTTGAGACTTCTGGTTATATCTTTTGATATTTCCCATTAGTCTTATTAATTTTTTCTCATAGTTCAATATTAGTAATCTGTAACAGTCTACTAATTTCTTTTTTGTCATCATTACCTTTTGTGAGTCCTGAGTCAAGGACCTAACCATCAAATTATCTACACATCCAAGAATCATACAAAATATTACAATCAATAAGATAAACATAATTAAACTCTGTAATAAATCTTGCAACCACCCAGTCACAGAAAATCCTAAACTACAAAGAATCTTATTTAACCAGCCACTTTCCATACTGTTCTGTAAATCACGGCTTGTCTTGGACACTTGTTTCATTTGATCTGGCTGTTTATTTAGGCTTTCCAGCATGCTAGAGATGTGTATGCAACAACTATCAGTTTTAAGATCTAAAAAAT